ATATATATATATATATATATATATATATATATAAAAACTACTACTTATACAACTATTCTTACTTTGTGGTTTTTCACTTATCGCGGGGCTTCAGGGTACGGATCCCCCATGATAAACAAGGTACTACTGTATTTGAATTTGTATATTTAGGTATGAAGTGACAAACATAAGTGCTGATTAACTTTGTACGATGTTAGACTGTGTTTTTGCATTGTGTCTCAACAGTAACGGTAGATTTAAGTCTGTTTAAAATTATCTAAAATTTGCAATGTTACAAATGCATATGATGATTTGTTACATACCATTAATATTTAGGTGTAATTTTTATTTACACAGTGAATATGTGCATGTGTGTAAAAATACTTCCTAAAACATTTTTCTACACGGCAGAAAAAAGCAACAAAGAACTGGTGGTCAGGGGTGAAATAATCTGGTAGTTAATTAGATATGGAGTGCTGCCTTCACTATAAATGCAGCATGAATGTGTAGAAAAATCACTACTTGTTTTCTTTTATACCATTTCTTCTCCAGGCTAGCCTTGCACAGCTAAGCTCTGCATGGTTTTGCTCAGCAGAGTGGAAAGCCACAGTGTTATAGCTCAGTTGGATGCCAACAGCAGCTAACCAGCAAGCTAGTCACCCTGCTGATTGTGTTAGGCAATTAACATGCTAATTAAAAATCTCATTAAAATAAGGGAGGTATAAGAGAATGACCTGAGGCAGACCGCTGGGCTTTATTTAGGTCAAGACAACTCAGGGACTCAGTGGGACTTTGCCTGTTTTGAAGCGTGTTTGTGCTCATACTGTCACTACCACTGGACCGTTGCATTATTGTTTACTATGTTTAAGAGAAAATGTTAGATAAGGAAGAATCATAGTGTTAAATAAGACCACCAGAGGGCATACTTCCTATGCTGCCCACTGCTTACATCTGTGACATTGAGGAGAAACAATGGCAACCAAAGAGGGCAACAGCTCACAGCCAACAAAGGAACTATCTGATAAACAGCAAGCCCAAATGGATATGTGTCACAAAATATTTGTAATCTTTTTACAATAAATTAATAGAATTGATCATTAATGTTAGAATTTCATTCAGTAACCATGTAAAACGGCTAGATTTTATTTAAGGAGGCAGCACAGTGGCTCAGTTGGTAAAGCTGATGTCTCTCAGCGAGAAGGTTGCAGTATCAAATCCTGGCTGGGGGCCTTTCTGGGTGGAGTTTGCATGTTCTCTCCATGCATGCATGGGTTTTCTTTGGGTACTCCAATTTCTTCCCACAGACCAAAAACATGCATGTTAGACTGATAAGTGACTTGTGCCTAGGTGTGAGTGAGAGAGTGAATGGCTGTTTGTCTCTATGTCCCTGTGATGGACTGAAGACCTGTCCAGGGTGTACCCCGCCTCTTGCACAGTGACTGCTGGATATGGACATCGGTGACCCCCATGATCCGAAAGGTAAAAACGGATAAAAATAATGGATGGATGGATATTTAAGGGTAATTAAATTTGAAGTCAGTCAATAACACACATAACTCAGAAATGACATAATGGGTATCGCATAACAGTATTGGAGGATGCATATTTATTATTATTTACCTGTCATGTAGTCAACACTAAGACAATCTTCACTGCATACCCGGTGATACTCTGAAGGATGACACTTGTCTCTACTCATATTGGCTAACCATCTTCTCAATAGGTAAGGTTTGTATAATGGAAACCTAAAATAGTCAAATATATAATATTTACACTGTGCAAATACTACATAAATCAGAGGAAATACTAGATTGTACCATTTAATAATTTGTGCTAAATTTCAGCACAGTGTATAAAAATGTATGCCACAGAAGCTAAAATCTTCTAGCCAATTCAATAACAGCAATTACATTGGATTTATAGGATAATTTTAAACAGTTACATTATTAGCTTCAATTGTGGTCAGATCAATTTCACACTGAGGTAAATGAGATCAAATATGTTAATTTGTGAAGTGACGTATGTTTTCCTTTTTCTCTTCGGTTGGTACAACTGTAACACACACACCTTTGTGGCATTTTTACATACATTTGATAGCTTATATAAATTCTAATATTAATTTATTATATCTTTAATAATTTTTACATAATCAGCCCTTACTGTTAGTATTTTGCCAATATCTACAACGATGCTATGTCTAGGCGCTTGCCCTCCCTGGTTATGACTCCCGCCCTTCCAGCGAGTCCCATGCTATGTGGCCAAGGTGCCCTCTAGTTTTCTTATTGACCTCTATGGGAATAACAAAAAGTACACTCTGTTTTTGTAGTACAAAAAAGAACACATTTATCAGATTCATATAGATTAGCTTGCATTTACACAAATATTGATTTCAAACTGCCATCACAATCTTGTTGGAAGGCTTTTGCTCAAAACATTTTGTTTTTTGCTTCGATATGTTTCCAAGTTTGAAGTTTTGATAAGCCATAAACTCTTTATTCATGTTGTGTCACTGAGTATAAAGTATACAACTTCAAAGATAAACATATAATTACAGACAAGTGATTTTAACCCTCATCCCTAGGGAGAACTCTATCAGCTGTAAATTAATAACATTAATGTGCCAGTATTTGATGTATATTTATGAGCTACATAAATGATGGGCATCAATTTGTAACATCACAAGACAAGCTGAGTTTCAAAAATAAACTAGCTGCAAAAGCTTGCCTCCAGAAGTCACAATATCTTGGTTACACATGAAGAAGTCAAGAAAACCTCTTTAATTTTTAAAGAGACACAAATGTGTATAGAGCTTATGAATTCCCAATTTATCTGTCATATTATTGATCATTTTACAATATTTTATGCCACATTTCCCCACTAATTGACTACTTCTGTTTAATTAAAAAGCTGCTACATTTCTTGAGTTGAGCAATTCAGTTTATTCTTATGAAGCTTTAAGAATTCCTACAATAAATGTATAACAGGTTATAAACCAGGACTGCCTGAAGTTGATCATCTAGACAAAGCAAGCAGATCTTTAAAAAAAGTGACCAAGAACCCAACAATCTCGGACTCATTATGTGTCCCCTCTTGTGGTTTGCTGGAAGGATGTCAGCAGCCCTCCATCAATCAGGTCTTCATAGTAAAGCAGCTTGACAGATGCCACTCTTAACAAAAGATATACGACAACCTGCTTGGGCCCTGCCAAAATGCAAAAGACTCAGAGCACACGGAAAGGAAATTTTATTTACTTTTTATTTCTAGTCTGAATGCCAAAAACAAAACTGTTAGCCAACTGTAAACAATAAGATAACCATGTTGTAGAAGAAATGCATCCCTACAGAACTGATTCATGTTTCTTCCTTGGAAGATACCACCTGGTTGGCACCAGAAAGAGAAAGAAGCTTCTCCTACACTGACTTGGTTATCAAAGAGACAAATGAGTGCATAGATGATTGTAAGAAGCACTCCTATTAAAAGATTGGACATTTTTGCAACCATGCTGAAAGTTTAGAAGTACTGAAGTTTTCTGGTGAT